CGGGGGCGGTGCGGGAGGCGCAGCCGGACGGCCCGGGCTGCCTGCGGGCTCCATCCCCCGCTGCCTGAAGGCTCCATCCCCCGCAGCGAAAAGGCACCTCGGAGGAGAAGATTGTGCCCTTAAGAGCAGTGCCAGCACCCCGCTGCTGCTGGCGGTATTAGGCCAAGCCCAGAAATCTCACCGTCAATAAAAACTTCAGTGCAAACTTGAGCACAAGCTCTCCCTGCTGCGTTGCTGCCTTGATTTGTTTTCCTTAAGGAGTCTATTTTTGAGGGTATATTCCTGAGTAACGCAAATTTCAGACAAACTCAAGTTTTAGAGCCAACATCGTAGAGAATTTTACTTGAAACCACAGAACGTGGCTTTAGCTGTCGTTTTCATGGAACAAATGCAGCTGGCTCTTGTATAATCACAACAAACAGCAGGAAAGATGCTGAGGAATGCTGTCTTAATTATCCAGCACAAAGATTAACGGGAAAGTACAAAGACAGGAAAAACAAACAACCCCAAAAGCTAAACTGGGTTTCAATGCCCTGGTTTGGCTTCAGCAGGGAAAGGCTGAGTCAAAGAAGTGACTTACTGCTGCATGAACAAGGGTGCCTTAATGTAAAATAACCCTGTGTGGGGTTATTTTACGTATTTTACTTTCCCCTCCGTGCAAGTACGCAGGATTCTTGCACAAGATGCAACCTACTTCCAAATAGTATATGGAGTTGCGGCAATTTACAGTCCCCTCAGGCCATGCTTCCACAGGGTGGGAATCTCTTGGAATAAATTCTCTGCGTCTGGACACGAAAAGGGGAGGTTCTGTCTTTGCTTTTTAAGTTAAAGGTTGGAAACTTTTCAAGCATGCTGTGCTGGAGTATTTTCTGAGGTCAAGCATGCCTGTAGATGCTCAGTTGGAGCTGAGAGGTGTTGCATCTCACTGGAGTGAGATTCTGCTTTTCGGCTTATGGCAGATATCTCACCTAACAAGCTAAAAGCCCTAAAATTGTCCTCTGTACCTTGTGCCCCAGCTCCCAAAGTGGGTGAAGCTCACGAGTGGCTGTCTGCAGCTGACTCCACCAACATGTCCTCACAGTGCCCAAATCCCAGCACCTTCATGTCTTCGGAGCCAGCGTGGGTACACCCTGCGCTGCTGGGTGATGGCGAGTGCCGAGCCAGGCAAAGTTTTACTGTCTGCTGTTTGTGTTTTATGGTCTCTGCTTCAGGCCACTGCGCTAAGCTCTGTGCAAATAGAACATGTGCAGCCAGATCCCTGTGGCACAAGAGTAAAAAGCAAAACACACCGAGGGACCAGCTGTGCGAACATCCAGGCGTCTCCTCCGGCAGCCGAGAGGTTCTCTGTCCTGCCTTCGGCACCTTGCCCTGCACGTAGCTCGCTCCCCTCTGCGCCGCTGTGCTGCCTTGATTTGAACTGGTCAAGTTTCCCCAGAAAGTTGCAGGGGTGAAAACCATTTCAAATTATCTGGCATCCCTAAGTCCTCGTTGCACCTCAGCCCTGGCTTGAAGCCAGGCAACGTGAATGGGCGTATAGAACAAGCATTCGCGCCAGCCACGTGGATTAGGGCTCTAAAAACACTTGGTGGAGGAAGCAAAAAGCAGGTGGAACATTTGGCTTTTGGGGATGCTGAGGACCCTTAGCCGCAGGGGGACAGTGGCTATCCTGTGGGACACGTCCCCCAGCACGACCTCGGTGTGCCGAGATGGGTGCTTGCCCACAGACGTGACCGCCAGCAGCTTCCCAAGCGCTGCTAGGCATGAGGTCTGACTTCACCGGGGTGTTTAACCACCTCATTTGCTTGAAGCATCTGCAAGGTTCAACTAGGGGCTCCTTGGAGCTGATGTGCCTTCAGCTGGCTGGGAGAGGAGCACAGACAGAGCCGTGCCGAATGCCCATCACGTCAGGCTCTGGAGGGGTGGAGTAGGAAAAGAAGACCAGCAAGAGAAACTGGCAGCCGTGGAGTTACTTAAGCAAGTCTTGTTTACACACATTTACTCCTCTTTATATAATAACCTTGGCTGGTCCTTGGGGAGCAGGAGGGGTTGTGCTGCCCCTGCTCACAGCATCTGGGGGTACCTGCAGGGACCCCGCATGGCACGTGGCCGTCCGGGGCCTCATAGCAGCAGAGATGCCAAGAGAGCTTAGGCATGGGGAAAGAACTGATTTCCATACCATTTCATGCAGAGATGCCCCCAAATGAAGGCATTTTTCTATAAATACCAACAATTTCAGAACAGAAAGGTTAGACCTTTATTTTGTGATGAAATTTTTCATCTTGCATCTAGGGGCTTTATTATATAAAGTGTCCTATTAGGGATACAAGCCTCTCTAAGGTAGAGATCAAAAAGAAATCTTTCCTCTGTTCTCAAGTGACCTTCTTCATGGAAAAATTCAAGCTGCTTTTTCATTCCACTAAAAAATGGAAACAGTTAGAAATCCTGACTTTCCCAGAGAAGCTGATTCCTGCAGCCCTGCTTATGATCTGCTAAACTCTGCAGAGTGCCAGGTAGAGGTTTCCTATCAAATGACTCTTCTATTTTTGCATTGAATAATAAGAAAAGCAAAACCCAAACAGAACTTAGAGTCTTGCAAATGAAGGGTGTTTTGGAAATCCCTGCTTCTGCTCCTGCTCCCTGCAGAGCACTCACACTCAGTCCTCTCTGGGCTGCGTCCTTCTGCAACTTGTCCCCTCATTCTGAAAATCTGTAAATTGGGACTTTTTGCTATGTTAATTAGCAGCTAAAA